CTATTACATGTTGAGATATTGACCTATTTTTTATTTTTTGGGGGGGGGGCAGTTCTCTGTGCCTCCTGGACTTGAATGCCTGTTTCCTTCCCCAGATTGGGGAAGTTCTCAGCTATAATTTGCTCAGATATATCTTCTGCCCCTTTCTCTCTTTCCTCTTCTTCTGGGATCTCAATTACTCTAATACTGTTTTGCTTTATGGTATCACTTATCTCTCAAATTGTCCTTGTGCTCCAATAGTTATCTCTTTTTCTCAGCTTCTTTATTCTCCATCATTTTGTCTTCTATATCATTAATTCTCTCTTATGCCTCATTTATCCTAGCAGTTAGAACTTCCATTTTTTTATTGTATCTCATTAGTAGCCTTTTTTATTTCAACTTGATTAGATTTTAGTTATTTCTCCAAAAAGGGATTCTCTAGTGTCTTCTCTGTTTTTTTCAAGCCCAATACATAAGTGAATTTGAGTGATATTTGGAGAGTGGTAGCAGGAACAAGGAAGGGCAGAAGGGCAAAAGATCAAAGATGTTACCAAAGGGCTGAAGGAGGAAGAGCCAGAGAGGGAAACAGTAGTAGCTCAAGACTTGAGTGGCAATTAATTAATTAATCCAGCAATAACTGAGCACCTACTATGAACCACATGCACTGCCAAATTCTGGAGTAAACAGCATAATGAAATGTTGTAGATGCAATGCTCACATCTGCACCGGATGGAGTGGGATTCAACAGAGAAAAGGCTGAGCTTACACAATAAGGAGGGAGACTGAGTGTCACAAGAAGCATCATAGAGGAGATGATGTATGAGTTGTGTCTTGAAAGATGAATCACATTTTCTAGGCAGGCAGGGGAAGGAAGTGTATGCCAGGCAGAGGGACTGCATGAGCAAAGGCATGCTTTGTCATGTTGGTTACAGTCCAGGAAATGCAAGTATTTTGCCATGGCTGCTGCAGCGGGGAATGAGGGTCAGGTGGGGATGGGGAATGGAAGAGGAAAGGCTGGAGAGGAAGGACAAGACCAGGTAATGGAGGGCCCTAAACAAATCTTACCTTAGAGGGAATGGAGAGATGGCTGAAGAGGAGAAACATGGTCACATTGGGTTTAGGCAACAGAACATAGGAGGGCTGGGGAGGGGCCGGGCAGCGGGTGGCAAGTCCTTTACCATTGCAGAGCTCTGACCAGAGGCAATAGCCATGGGGAAGCAGAGATGGGGCAGAGAGGTGATGAATCTAGTCATTTATTACTTGTAAGAGGAAGGTATGGGAGAGAGGAGCTCAGGGTAGCTCCCAGATTTCTGCATTGTGTCACTGACTAATAGTGCAGATATAGAAGAAAGGGGTATAGGATTGGACAAATAATGTGTTTATTCTTCAACACATTGACTTCAGGGTGCTCATGGAACATTCAGGCAGAGATGTGGCGAGGGTAACTGGGCACACAGGCCTGGGGCTCATGAAAGAGATCTAGATTTGTGTGGTAGACAGTCCTAGTTCTGGCCCACAACCAGTTCTCCTCTCCTCTGGCCCAGAGCCTCACCTGTGTTTGGGTGGTGCCATGTGACTCGTTGTGGCCAACAGACTATGAATGAAAGTGATGTATTCCCTTTGAGTTGAAGCATTTAATCACTGAAGTAAGACCTCTTCTGACCCCTTCTCCTGCAGGGCGATCATGAAGATTTCGTGGTGTGAAGGTAAGGTTGCAGGCTCTGAAGCTGGATCACTGTGTCATCATATGGAGGACAGTTTCTCTGGAGGGTCACTTGGACCTGTGGTGGATTCTCCATGAGCAAAAAATAAGCTTTTCCATGTTACACGAAGATTTGGGGATAGTTTCTTATCTCACTTAACCTAACCTATCCTGCCTGATACAATTTGAGATATAGATGAGGAAGTCATCAGCATACTCATGATAGTAAAAGCCATGGGGACGGCTAAGATTGTCCAGGTCGTCTGTAGAGTGGGAATAAAAATTCATCAGACAGAACCCTGAGGAACACCAATATTTAGGAAGGAGACAGACAGTTGTCAGCTAAGGAAATTGAGAGGAAGTAGTGATAGCAAACACACAGTATTAGAAGCCAGGGAGGAAAGGAAGGAAGGAAAGCTGTGGCCAATAGCACCAGATGCTGCCAAGAGGGAGGCCCAGTAACACGAGGACTGCAAAGAGTGGACTGGATTTAGAATGAAGGGATCATGATCTCTTCTGCGAATGCAGCTTAGGTGTGGCAGTGGTGGAGACTAAGACTTTAGTGGGTTGAATGATGAACACGAATCCCAGGACATAGACTGGATCTTTAAAGAGATCCTCTTGTTAAAGAACACCAACCAACGCTGGATGAAACATGTTAAACACCAGAATTGAAAAATGTGTGGCTGAACTGGATGTTGGAAATCCTCAAAGGTAGAAAGGAAGCATGTTGAGTGAGACCTGGAGCTGGTCTTTGCTCTGGGAATATCTGCTGATTTTTGTTGACCCAGAGCTAGGGTCGAAAGGCCATGTCCATGAGATCAGGAAACCAAGTCGTAAGCCTGCACAAAGGGGGGAATTTGCATCAGACCCTCTGAAAGGAGACCCACAGCAGGTGGATTAGGAAAAAAGCCATGCCACAGTGGAAATGTTAAGGATCCTTGTTGTACTAGCTTTTGACAGCAGCGTAACAATCACACATTTCCAGGCCTAAAAGAGTACACATTTACTATCTCTCAGTGTCTGTGGGTTAGAGGCTTGGGTACAGCTTACCAGGGTTCTCTGCTTAGGGTCTCACCAGGGTGCAGTGCAGGTATTGGCTGGGACCTTGGTTTCATCAGAGGCTTGACTGGGGGAAGATCCTCTTCCAACCTCCATTTGTTGCATGAATTCATTTCCTTTCAGCTGTATGACTGAGGGCCCCAGCTTTTTACTGCCCGTCTGCTGGCGCCTGCCGTCAGGTTCTAGAAGCTGCCTGCCATTCCCTGCCTATGGCCCTGTTCATAGGTAGTTCACAACATGGCAGTCCGCTTCTTTAAGGCCAGCAGGAGAGTCTTGCCAGGCTGCTAGGATGGTCTTATACAGTGTAATGCAGCAGTGGGAGTGACTTCTCATCACCTTTGCCACACAAAGTAACCCAGTGGAGGGAGTTGTAACATACCGCCTTTGCTATATTGTAGTCATTAGATGCAAGTCACAGATTCCATCTGCGCTCAGGGGAGGGGATTTTACTGAGGGTGACACGACGGCAGCACTGTGGGGTAGAGCAGAATTCTGCCTGTCACACTGGCTTATTCCAATCTTGGCTCTGGGCAGAGGAGAATAAAGAGAAAAACAAAACAACTTTTCTTTGAGGAATCTCCGACCGCAAACCCAACTTCAGGAAGTTTTGGGCCAGATTCTGTACTCCTTGTGGTTCTGTATCTTTTTTTTTTTTTGTCATTCATTTCACAATACTTTCTAATTTCCTCTTTGATGCATGGATTATTTAGAAATGCATTTCTTAATTTCAAAATACATGTGGATTTCCTTATCATTTTGTTAACAACTTTTAAGCACAATTGCTCTGTGATCAGCAAAAATATTATGCATGATTTCAATCCTTTAAAATCTGTTGAGGCATGCATTATGCAACATTATATGGTCAATTTTTGTACACTATTTCTTTTTTTTTTTAAGATTTATTTATTTGAGTGAGAGAGAGAGCATGAGGAGGGGCAGAGGGAGAGGGATAGAGAATCTCAAGCCGATTCTGCGCTCAGCGCAGAGCCCTACACAGGGCTTGATCTCACAGCCCTGAAGTCACGACCTGAGCCAAAACCAAGAGTCAGAGGCTTAACTGACTGAGCACCCCCAGGGGCCCCTTGTATACTATTTCATTGGTACTTGAGAAGAATATGTAGCCTGTGGTTATTGGGAGTAGTGTTCTATGTATCTTTTAAGCACAGTTTGTTTTGTTCAAATTCTATAACCTGCTTATTAATTCTTTAGTCACTGATATAATTATGAATTTGTCTACTTCTACATAAAAATATTTTAAAATCTCACTAGTTTATATTTACACTTACAATGTTCACTTAGGTTTACTCACATATTTAACAGCTATGTTTTTCTTCCTTTTTCCCTGTTTCTGTCATTTTCTGTGGGATCGTTTTCCTTTTTTTTTTTTTTTAAAGATTTTGAGAGAGAGAGAGAGAATGAGCAGTGGTGAGGGGCAGAGGGACAGAGATAGAGAGAAGCAGACTCTGCTGAGCAGGAAGCCCGACATGGGTCTCGATCCCAGGACCTGGGGATCATGACTGGAGCCAAAGGCAGATGCTTAACCAACTGACCCACCTAGGCACCCCCTTTTCCTTAAGAATACCTTTTAGTCTTTCAATGAAGTGCCACTGGTTGATAACTCATTTTTAGTTCTCTCAAAATCTTTATTTCTCTTTCATTCTTAAAAGATACTTTTACTGCTATAGAATTCTAGTTAGGTAATTTCCCCCCACAGATCGACCATTTTGTGTCATGATCTTCTGGCCATGAGCTCTTTAAATATTGCCTCTGCCTCATTTTCTTTGGGAATTCCAACTACATATTAGACCTTATTGTATCTTCTCTGTCTCCTACTCTCCCTTTGGTATTTTTCATCTTTGTCTCTCTCTTCCTTCTTTCCAGTTCATAACTGCTCCATTCACCTTTGTCTAATCTGTTATTGACAAGTGGCCAACTGAGCTAATTTTTCTATATAGTTTTTCAGTTCTAGAATTTGTATTTTTCAAATTTTCTTTTAAATGTTGTTTCTGTTTTTTTTGTCAACATTTTCAAACTTGACTTTTATCTGCTTTAATACAGTAAGCATAATTAGTTTATGGCTTATTTAGTTCTTGCTTACAGATCCTTATCTCCTAATCATCTGATTATCTTTTACTGTAAAATTGGGTTTGAAAATCGTTTGTAGAAGAAAAGACGAGGATCATGTTTTGTTCCTCTAAACCAGGTTTCTTGTATTGCTTTTGCCAGGGACCTGGGGGCACCAGCAATCTGGGATCACCTTAATCCAAGTTCAGGGCTGAGTGTTCATGGAGTCGTTCGCTCACAGCAGGGCGCTGGCCATGGAAGGGCTGGTTTTTTAAGTCTGCACCAAAAGCTGAGTCTGTGTGTGTTGGTGGTAGGCAATGGTGATGTTTACTTGCGTCTCCCTCCTCAATGGGTCCTGAACTCCATCTTTCACTCCTCTAGTCCTGTGAGGTCACCAAAAGAATAGCTTAGTCTCTTAGCTATCTCTTTCAGGCTGGCAAATGCTCCCAGGGCTTAAGTGGGCCCAAGTCCTAAACTCACCTCTCTGAATTTCCACTGTCTCTCAGTTCTTGGCCTGATGATTTCTCATTACCTCTTCAAGGTGCTTTAGTATTCTTAAGATATGTTTTATATCTCACCCAAATGTTAACAATTTCTTCAGTCAGACAGCTGGTCTGAATTACCTAGTCTATCATTACTGGAAGCAGATGTTACAAGATTTTGCATTTCAATTGCATTTTAACCCCAATAACAAAGTTCCAGGAATCTACATCTTAATTTTATTTCTTAACAACAAACAAAATTTAAGGTACATTTTTTATTTTTTTATTTTTTTTTAAGGTACATTTTTTAATACTAATAAAGAATAGAGAGTTTTAGAATAAATGTTATATAAAAGAGGTACCAGACCTTAACAGAGAACATAAAAAAATTTTAATGGAAAACACTTAACACCTAATACATGGAGAAACATAATCCTTAATTACTTCCTTTACTGTCATTTATCTTGTTCCTCTATCTCCTGCAGTTCCTGGAAACTGGAATTTACATCTTAAGCCTTGATAGATTCAAGTTAATTATTTTTGGCTAGATTACATCATAGGTGATACTGTCTACTTTATATTTAATCACATCAGGAAACATTTCTGGTTATCTCACCATGAAGGATGTTAAGAACAGCCACTGACTTAGGGTGACTGACTTGACTGGAATGGTCTTCAGATTAGTAATTATCATCATTATAAATTTTTTTATGCTCACTATAAAACTTTTATAACAAGACTCTAACATTTCCCTTTTTTCATTGACATTGTAATCTATTTCTTTTGCTAATACAAAAATACTTCAAATTCAATTAGACTTTTTCATATCATGTACTTAAAAAACAATCATGATACTCTAATCTGCAGACTGCACAGCCAATCACCACGCAGCCTGTTGGTAGGTCCCAAACCACATCTACCACATAGAAATACATTTCTGATAATTTATTTATTTTTATTTTTTATTATTATTATTTTTTAAAGATTTTATTTATTTATTCATGAGAGACAGAGAGAGAGAGAGAGAGGCAGAGGGAGAAGCAGGCTCCCAAGGAGCAGGGAGCCCGATGCGGGACTCGATCCCAGGACTCTGGGATCATGACCTGAGGCGAAGGCAGACGCTTAACCATCTGAGCCACCCAGGCGCCCCATTTCTGATAATTTAAAGGTAGAGATTTGGAGCTGGGGTCTGGAGTTTTGCCTCTAGGACCCCTGCTCGGCTTATCATCTCTTCTGGCTGTTGGCTGGCTTCACTTTGGGTTGACACCATACTCCTTGGGCACAGGTAAACAAATTCCTCCAGCACATCCATGGCCCCTTGCCCAACAGAAGCAGCATGTGCTCTACAACCAGCCACTATTGTTTATGTCCGGGTGGCAGAGCACTCTCTCTTGGCAATGTTTCAGTGTCGCTGAGTGCAGGACATCAGTCATCTGGTTCTCTGGTTCTGGGGACTGTGGAGCCTGTTCTCAGAATCTGCTCAGACCAAGTGGCCTGATGAGGAGCCCCAGATGAAACTGTTCTCAGCCTGAAATCATTGGCCCGGGGATCAGCCTGGCTGCCCCACATATTAAGGAGTAGTATCTCCTGGCATATTTGCCATCTGTGGCAACCTGTCTGGGAAGCTCTGAATTTGTGCAAAGTCTGCAAACTGGAAAAGTTTAGACGTGTGAGGAACAGCAAAGGACAGGTGGCCAAAGCAGAATGAATAGGGAGAGTGGTAGATGAGGTCAGAGAAATTGCTGGGGACCAGATCATATAGTACCTTATGAATAATGGTAAGGATTAGAGTCTATTCTAAATGGGGCATTACAAAGTTTTATGCAGGGGAGTGACAGGATTCGACTTACATTTTATAATAAAAGGGGTGCAAGTGTGACAACAGAGAATGTAGTAGCCCAAGTGAAACATGGCAGCTTGGATTAGGCAGTAGTAGGAGGGGACAGATTTATAATCAGTTTTGAGAGTAGAGGTAAACAAGACTTGCTAATGGATTAGACAGAAAAGTGAAAGGGTGGGGTGCCTGGGTGATTCCATCAAGTGTCTGCCTTCAGCTCAGGTCATGGTCCCAGGGTCCTGGGATCTAGGAGCCCCACATCATCATCAGGCCCCCTGCTCAGTGGGGAGTCAGCTTAGTCTGCCTCCCCACCCCTCTTGTGCTTGCTCTCTCTCATAAAGTCTTAAAAAAAAAAAAAAAAACGTGAAAGGGACTAAGGCTGACTCCTAGTTTTTTGGGCTGACCAACTTGGGTGGTACCATTATCTGAGATGGAGAAGACTTAGTGAAGAGCAGGCTAGGGGTGGAGACTAAGAGATCTATTTTTAACTTACATTTGAAATGTCTTTAAGGTATCTAATAGGTGTGTAGACAATACAAGTGAGGGTAAGTAGTGTTCTGGAAATTATTTTGTGTAGGTCTATTTCCTCACTGCCTTTCAATCCTTTACCACCACTGTAATCTATCTTTTGTCCCTGCTATTCAAACAAAACTACTCTAAGAAGGGCCAGAGACTTCCAAGCTATTAACTCTAATGGGCACTTTGAGTCCTCTTAATCTCCCCGAAAAAGTGGCTCTTCTGACATGGAACTCTCCAAAGTCTTGATTTTTGACACTGCTCTCTCCCAATTTTCCTCCAGTAACTGGCTATTCCTTCTTTTGCAGAATTCTCGATCATTTCGGAAACACTGATAGTCTTTCATGGCTCCAAGACTTACTCTCTTTCTTGAAGTCACAGTGAATAACAGTACCTCCCGTTCTCTTCCCTTTCAAGCAAGAAAGCTGTGACTCACATTGATTGTTCCCTTCTTCTATATTCTGCACACTCAAGTCCCACTAATGTTGCCTTTAGTGTTTCTCAATTCCCTCCTTTCCAACCTCACCGACAAGGCCTTTGGTTAAGGTCTCCAATGTCTTTTGGCTAGAATGAACCTGAAGCTGAGCTAGCTTTGCCTCTCTCCAAGCTGTCCTCTACTGTTGATAGTGCCTTTTCTGAAACAAAAATCTAGTTGTCATTCCTCTGCTTAAAACCTTTCACTGGCTCCCCTGTCCTCAGAACAAAATCCAATTGCTAAGCACAGTATTTAAGGACCCTAATATAACTCCTATTTGTATTTCACTCGAGTAACTTCTTGAATTTTAAAAATGTTACTCTCCTACATTAGCTTCTTCTTCTTCTTCTTCAATCACAAATGCTGCTCCTTCTTTCTGGACCCAACTCCTCATTCTTTTGGCTAACTTCCTCTTTCAAATGCCAGCTCAGCCTTTCTTTTCTGACCTGTCACCTTCCTGCTCTCTCCGTTTTACTGGAAATTCATTGACTTCTTGGGACTAGATTTTTACTTTAAGTATTATTCATTCAGGTTAACATTTATTAATAGACTAGTTACTGTGGTGGTTCATAATGTGTCAAGTGGGTTAGGCTGAACTACTTTCCAGAATTCTCTTCCCTGAATGTTTTGGTTAAGAGTGAGCATTCAATTCTTGAGCAATTTTAGAGGGCAGATGTGAAGCAACAACTATTTAGTAGCTCATACATGTTGTTGCTCATCTGTGGCTCACCAGTTGGAAGGTGGGCCTGCAACTTCCCAACCTTTCCCTGGATCACCCTTCAAGTTTTTCTAACCTTTGGACAAGGTATGTGCGAAAAAGGACCCAGGCTTTTCCAGGAGTCCTATTATCAAACTCCGAGGTAATAAAAATGGCAAGGGCTTCAATCTGTGCTTGCGATTTCTACTTGTTCCTGGTCTCCCACTTTACAGCCATCTTCCCTTCTTTATTGCCTGCTCTTGGACTTCAAGCTCCTACATCAGAAACAAAGGTCACAGCCTCAGAAAGCCATGGTTAACCAGCTCCCACGACAGTGTCAAGTCAAATCCCGTATAAACCTCTACCCTAGTAGTTCTGCTTCTCTAACTGAACGCTAACTGATAGTTCTGTACAAGAATGAGGCTAGTGACACTACTGGAAATGGCACTTGTCATTATACTCCCACAGCACCCCTGCTAAAGTCTCTATTGTTCATATATTCTTACTGCCTTTCTAGATTTTTAACTTTCTGAGAGGGAATTTTATCTCTGTATGACCAGTACAGGATGGTGCTTAGCACAAACTAGGTATTTATAAATCCTTTGTTAAACAAATAATTTGGAACACCTCTGCTGACCTAGGAAAATCTCTTTAAGTAACAGTAAAGATGTCAATCTCATTTCTATAGCAGATGAATACATTAGCCACCAATAAATACTGACCTGACATCGGCTGTTACATAAATTAAAATCCTAGTAAGTCAGTGAAAGCAGCAATTATTCAAATAGTACATATTTTCAAGTATTTCCTATTATGTAAGTTGTCCTTTGTGTACAAGTACATCCTTATACAAGTATGGGAGAATTAAATGCAGATAAACCTATGGAAAGGCAGAATTTTCTGACTTACCTGCTGGCCTCTTGAGGGTAATTTTATGACACACTGGGTCCATAATATTTTCTATAGACATACCACTAAAATAATAAAGCCAATAATGTGATTTGATACACATTTCCTTTAGTTATTTTAAGAATAAAAAGCTTTAAATTTCCTTAACTTGTCAGTTAGCCAGAAATAGCTTACCACTAAATTATCAGCTCAATGACATGTTTAATTTTTACCCATATGATGTTAAAATATTTCAGAATATTATGCAACCTGAAAATTCTAGCTTCAACTTATCACTTATAAAGTGCAAGATGGTGGAGGAGTAGGAGACTTAAATTTTGTCTGGTCCCAGGAATTCAGCTAGATAGTTATCAAACCATTCTGACCACCTACGAACTCAACAGGAGATCAAAGAAAAGACTAGCGCAATTCTACAAACAGAAAAGCAACCCCTTTCTGGAAGGATATATAGAACAATACTGAATAAAATCAATGAAATAAAAAAAATAAATAAAGTGCAAGATGGTAGAATTAATTACAAATCTATACTGTAACTTGGTAATCATTAGTCAGCCAACAAATTTTATTAACAGCAAACTGCTCATTCAAAAGTAATCATGGAACTCAAAATACAGAACAAGAAGGATGAAAAACATCTCGTTGGCCAAGAGATTGTTTTAATTCTCTGACTATATGAAACAAACTTTTCATTTTTAGGAAAGGTTAAGTGTAACTTCAGTAGACAGCAATACAGAAAGATTTTGTTACATGGACTAGTTTCTTTAGTCAATTGCTCCTGGCTGTCTCCACCGGGATAGATGCATTTACAGAACTGGCTGTGCTTGAGCCTTCTTTGCAAGCAGCTTTAGATCTGCAATGCACTTGGCAATTGTCTCCTTTTCCTGTGATAAGGAAAGAGAAATCTGGTTAGACCTCTCCAAATCACAGAAGCAGGTATAAATACTGTAATTTTAAAGGACAGCTCCTACAAGATCTTGAAGTTCCTACAGAATCTCAAGATGACGTGACAGACTACTAGGAATTTTTTATGTACCACTGGGGAGATGCAAGTTATTCTAAGCAAATCCAGGGAATTAGTTAAAATCTCCCGGTTCACAGCTTTTATGAGTGAAATCTATATAGAATTTGAAGCCAGACACTCCTGTAACCATGTGCCACTGATGTTAGCTTGTACAGCTAACAGCTGCTTGAAAAAGAGCAACCTAACAAACATTAATAACATAGAAATGTTAAGAATAAAAATAATTTTCTTTTTTTAGTGTTTTCTCCATTTCTAAATTATGTAAAAGACAATTTAGTGGAAAAAAAAAATTCATTAAATGTTGGTAGACCCTGTTCTTCTAGTCCTTGATGGTTATACAGAAAATGATCAGAAATGCCTACATATCCTAAATATTTGGGGAAGAAAAAATCAAGTCATAATTAAAAAAATATAAACTTTAAAAAGGAAAACAAATTTAGGTCAATAATAAAACACATTTCTTTTCTGTTCAAGACCAATCATGTAAGCGGCCGGGACACGGAAATGGGAGTAGAGATCATGGAATTAGGGAATGGAAGGGACTCAGAAAGAGCTTTATCCAGTCTGTCGTACAGAGAAATGAAATATGTTGGTTAGTGTTTCCCACATGATGGAACTTGAATACAAGTGTGCCACAATCAGTGCTCTCAACTATCTGCCGCTGTCTCATAGCGAGAGACCCTTTGGTGACCAAATTCTGAGGGAGAGAAAAGCCACCAAGGTAGCTGTGCAGGTCTTCCAGGTTACCACTACCCAGAACAATGAACCAGGGTGACCCCAGTGTCTCTAGGCTAAAGACTCCTTGCCAGCTATTCCTATCCTAACAGAGCACCAGCAGAGGCCCATACAACTCCAGAAGCTTCAGAACACCACGCACCTGCTGTGCAGAGATGCTCTGCACCACGTGCTTCTCCACCCAGTTTATCATGTGCTCTTGTTCCTTTCGGCGCATCATGTTCTGCACAGAGATGTGATAGTCCAGGCGATTCTTCACCTCCTTGTATACTCTGTGCAGCCGTTCCCGGTAAGTAAGTTCCAGTGCCATAGCAATGTTATTCTGAAGCAAGATTAAGAATTGATGAAAAATTTGGCATCACTGAAGGATCACTTCCACTTTGCAGATTCTGTTGGTTAGAATACCCCAACACCACTTTCTTGTATTTTATGCAAAATTATTTAATACGAATAGGTAAGAGATGTATGTGGTAAATAAATTCTAATAGCATATGGTAAAAATATACTTAAAAGTACATATAGTGAGTTTCCTCTAGTCCGTCCACAGGCCACCATCTTCCTGAATTTCTTGTATTCCCTCCCAGAAATACTCAATAAACCAAATACAGGTATAGGCAGGCATGCACATATATACACGCACACACATCACTTTTACTAATTATAACATCTAGACCCACAATTTTAAGTTACACTGAATTCTACTATACTGGGGTCCCATAATCCAGAGTTTAACTAAGCTCTATTAATACATTAGATCGCTTCCAATTCTACCAGAAATAATGCTGCATCTGTTGTATATGTCTTTGCACTTATGTGTAAATATTTGCTGTAAATGGGGCGCCTGGGTGGCTCAGTCATCAGGCGTCTGCCTTCAGCTCAGGTCCTGATCCCAGGATCCTGGGATGGAGCCCCACATCTGGCTCCCTGCTCAGCGGGGAGTCTACTTCTCCCTCTGCCCCTCCCCCTGCTCGTGCTCACTTCCTCGCTTGCTCTAATAAAATCTTTAAATAAGTAAATAAAAAATAAAGTTAACAAAAAAAAAATACTTGCTGTAATAACATGTTAAGTACCTACTATATTCTAAAAACTGTGTGTCAATTCAGTTAAGTCTTATAATCATACCATAGGATAGTTACTATTATTATATCCACTTTATAGCAAAGAAACTGAAGCAGAAGGAACTTGTCCAAGGGTACAGAGCTAATAAATTGTGAAGCCAAGATCCAAATACAAGGAGCCAAGCTATAAAGCCCATGCTGTTAACCTGTGATTAATACTGTCACATTCCACATAAAGTTGTACTATTTCATTCTCCTACCAGCAACACAAATGCCTATCACTTCAAACCCTGACCAATGATATTTATAAAACCTTTTACTCTCTATTCTCATAAGCAGAAAAAAACCCAGGAATTTTAACGTCATTATTAAACATTTACGTATGAACATTTACATATTTAGAAACCATTTACATTTATTTATGAATGGTCTGTGTCCTATGCCTAGTTTTCTACTGGGATGTTGGTCTCTCCTAAGGTAACTAACTACCCTTTTGTGTTACATGGAATGCACATCTTCTTCCCAGTTTGTCGTTTAACTTTATGCTCATTTTTACACGTAAAACTTTCATGAGATCAATTTAACAACTTTTCCTCTTATAGTTTCTGGATTTTTTAAATTTTTATTTTTTTTCTCTTCCAAGTTTTTATTTAAATTCCAGTTAGTTAACAGTGTAATATTAGTTTCAGGTGTAGAATATAGCGATTCAACACTTCCATACAACATCCAGTGCTCACCATAGCCAAGTGCATTCCTTAATTCCCATCACCTATTTCACCCATCCCCCACCCACCTCCCCTCTGGTAACCATCAGTTTGTTACCTACAGCTAAGAGTCTGTTTCTTGGTTTGCCTCTCTTTTTTGTCCTCCATGTTCATTTGTTTTGTTTCTTAAATTCCATGAGTGAAATCTTTCTCTGACTTATTTCACTTAGCATAATACTCTCTAGCTCCATCCATGTTATTGCAAATGGCAAGGTTTCATTCTTTCTGATGACTCAGCAGTACTCTCGTGTGTGTGTGTGTGTGTGTGTGTGTACACATCTTCTTGATCCATGGAATTTTTAAAAATTGAGGTGTAATTTAAAATTCTTATAAATTGAGGTATAATCTCAGGTGCTTAACATAGATTCGATATTTCATATACATTGTGAAACCACCAAAGTCTAGTTAACGTCTGTCACCGTACACAAGTTTCTAAATTTTGTTATCTTTATTAGAAAGGCCTTGTCAACTCCAAAGGTATTTTTTTGTGTTCTTTTTTTCTACTTTATGGCTTCTTTTTTTACGAAGATCTTTAATTTGTTTGAAATTTATTTTAGCAGAAAGTCAAAGGTAAGAAACCAACCCTATTTCTACACAAGTGCCCACTTACCTCCCTTTTACAATGGAACTGCCATGTCTACAATACCTTAGCGTTTAGCTGGATCTCTAGATCTGTGCTGCGCCACCCTGACTTTATATTCATGCACTGCACCATACTATTTACAACTCCTTGTATCTTTTTTTTTTTTTTAAAGATTTTTTATTTATTTATTTGACAGAGAGAGACACAGCGAGAGAGGGAACACAAGCAGGGGGAGAGGGAGAGGGAGAAGCAGACTTCCCGCTGAGCAGGGAGCCCGATGCGGGGCTCGATCCCAGGACCCTGGGATCATGACCTGAGCCGAAGGCAGACGCTTAACGACTGAGCCACCCAGGCGCCCCAACAACTCCTTATATCTTATAATGGGTTTTCATATTTGGCAGGACTGTTCCTCATTACTTCTCTTTTTCAAAATATTCCTGGTTATTCTTCCTTCCTTCTTCTTTTTTTTTTTTTTAAACTAATAATCAATTTGTCCAAGTCCCAACATCCCCTCCCTCCAAGCTATAAGTATTTTCCTTCTAGAAATGTGTTAAATGTAGAGATTAAAGTAGGGAGAACTGATGTCTTTATAACACTGAGTCTTCCAATCTAAGAACAAGGTTCTTAGCACCTTACACCTCACAAGCAATGTATGTTTTCTTTTTTTTTTAAAGATTTTATTTATTTATTTGAGAGAGAGAGAATGAGAGAGAGCACATGAGAGGGGGGAGGGTCAGAGGGAGAAGCAGACTCCCTGCCGAGCAGGGAGCCCGATGCGGGACTCGATCCCGGGACTCCAGGATCATGACCTGAGCCGAAGGCAGTCGCTTAACCAACTGAGCCACCCAGGCACCCGCAATGTATGTTTTCTGAAATAAAAACTTTGCACATTTCTAGTGAAGTTTACTTGAGGCCTCTTTTCCTAGACAGTTTATCTTCTTCTGGTGTATTTTCTAACTGACTTATTTGTATATGGAAGGGTACTGATTTCACTTATAGATATTAACGGTATACCCAGACACCTGACTGAAATTAAAATTATTTTAATAATTATGTTGATACTCATAGGCTTTCTAGTTATATAATCAGGTAACCTATAACTGCCTTTTCTTTCCTAAATTATATACCTCTTACTCGTTTTTCTTCTCGAATCCAGCTACTATCTCAAGAATAATATCAAATTAATAACAGTGACAGGAATGTTATCTTCTAGTCTATAATGAGAATCTTTATAGGTCTGC